AAATTCTTACATCTGGAATTACTAAGTCAAAAAGACTATTTTTGAAACTTTTTAATATCCACTGTCAATTTGATTTCCAAAGAGAGAACAATTTTGTAGACAGACCATTAACAAATAGGGATACTAATTCTATTGCTAAGAGCCCTGGTGACACATTTAAAGCACTTAACTAACCAAAAAGTTGGGAGTACAAACCCACCAGCAGATCATAGTAGAAAGATGTAACCGTTTACTTCTGTAAACCTGGGAAACCCAATGTAGTTCTACTATGTCTTATAGGGCCTCTAGGAGTTGGTACTTATTTGATGGCCTTGTCTCAGTGTTGTACAGTGTGGAGTGCATTGTCCTCTCCCCAGTCAATGTGAGGTCTCCTATTTTGAGATGGTTCATATGAAGTGCACATGAGGGTGCTGTATGTATGGTTCATGGCAAGTGGGCAGACATTCTACCCCTTTGTTAGGGAATTGGTCTCTAAGATTAATTTAATTGGTTTTTCTCGTTATAAAGTGGACTCGTACTACATTTGTTCTCTTGTTATTGACAGCTCCATTTTTTTGTTAAAGTGATTTAACTATGGAAGTATATGATGTGTGACTAATATATCAAGAAAACTACTATATAAAAAAAAAAGAAACCAAACTTGACCGACTGTCAAATAGGATGAAAGAGGAAGAATATTTGGTTAATGGACATTAAGTTTATGTTAATGGTGGTGGAATAATTTGCAAGAGGATAGAAATAATGGTTGTACAACCCAAAGAGTATAATCAATGATATTTAGTTGTACATGTAGAAGTTGTTGAATTGAATAATGTTCTGTTGTGTATATTTTTGACACACAAAAAAACAATTACAAGAATAACAATGAGTACAAGGAAGAAGAAAATGTTCTAAAATGAATTGTGGTAATGATTGTACAACTTTTCTTGATATGATTGAACTATTGAATTGTATGATATATGGATAAAGTTTTAATAAAACTTTTTAAAAAGTTTCTTAATCATTGTTATACATTCTTATGTTATCATGCTAAGGAAGAGAAAAAGATTTTGCTCTGTCACCACTGTTTTTATTCAAAACAAAACTACACTGAGTTCTAATTGCTACTTCCAAATGTCATAATTTGTCACCACAGTGACATCTGATATGCAGTTTTTTTCTTGGGTGGGTAAAATTTTGGAATAAGAGAGCCCACTGCATGACTCACAAGAAAAGCCATTCTGCATTTTGGTTAACACAAAGCTATATTTTCTCATGGGTACAACGGAACAAGTTTGACAGGAGCCCGCAAAGCCAAGAACAGTGGAAAAGTAGGCTTAGCAGCTTCCTATAAATTCAAGTACTGATTTGTGGGCAGCTCATGTCTACCCATAATGGTGTCCTTAGGATTCTGCACATGTAGCCCCCCTTTTTTTCGTTGAGATATCCAGGGGCTGGATATCTTCCATTATGGTGTGTCCTCAGATCACAGAAGTTTTGTCCTGTTGCTCTGGAAACTCTATTGCCTAATTCAGTGAAATAAATACTGGGACAAGACAAGGGAAACAAACTCTGGTTCTACACAGACTACATAGGTGACCTTTGAAAATAATTTGCTTAGCTTTCCTGTACCTCGATCCTCCAATCTGCAGTGGGGAGATTTGACATGTTATCTAACTCACATGGGTATTATTAGAGTCTTAGGAGTCCTGGTGGCATAGTAGTTACGCATTGGGCTGCTAACTACAAGGTCAGTTGTTTGAAACTACCAGACACTTTTCCAGAGAAAGACAGGACTTTCTACTCCCATAAAGAGTTACAATCTTGGAAAGCCAAATGGGCAGTTCCAACTTGTCCTACAGGGTCACTAAGAGTCGGCATCCACTCAATGGTGGTGAGGGATACAGGAAGAAGGCCTGATAGCATGCGGATTACTGGTTGGGTTGCTAACTACAAGGCCAGCAGTTTGAAATCACTAGAAGCTGTATCATACAGGATTGCTGTGAATCAGGATTGACTTGATGGCAGGGAGTTTGGTTTGATTGAAGGATGTCAGATGAAATGTTGTTATTTTTGTTGTCATGAAGTTACTTCTGATTCCTAGAGACTCTATGTACAACAAAATGAAACAGTACCTGGTCCTGCGCCTCACAATGTCACAGTGCCTTTGGGTTGGAGTCCACTGTTGCAGCCAATATGTCAATCCACCTCTGTGATCCTTCTACTTAACCAAGCATGATGTCCTTTTCCAGGGACTGGTCTCTCCTAAGACATGTCCAAAGTACTTGAGATGAAATCTCACCCATTTTTGTTTCTACAGAGCATTCTTGATGCTCTTCCAAGACAGTTTTGCTCTTTTGACAGTCCATGGGTGTTTCAATATCCTTCACCAGTACTTTAATTCAAATGCATCACTTGTTCTTTAGTCTTCCTTAGGGATTCAATGTTCAACTTTCACACGCATATGAGACAATTGAAAATACTATGGCTTGGGTCAGACGCATCTTAGTTTTCAAAGGAATCTCCTTGCTTTTCAACAAATGTGCAGCAGGTTTACCCAATGCAATGCATCATTTGCTTTCTTTACTCTTGCTTCCATGAGCAAGAGGAAAATCTTGGCAATTTCAATTTTTTCTCTGTTTATCATGATGTCTCTT